CAGTCTATTGGTCTACAAATGTGTGCGATGTTGTCTTGCTCTATCCGTAGTGCCCGCCGCTAGGAGGAAGAGTTTGCCCGGTTGACCGAAGCCGCAAAGAATTCCTGTGCTGCTGACGCACCCAAAAGTCCTGAGCCGAAGCAGCTGAAAATTTCCTGACCAGTGGCCCTTCCACATGCTCCAACTTTCCCCATTCCAACACCAAATTCTCTTTCTGAGGGTTGCTGGCTCACCCTCATATCTGACCTCCATATCCCTCTATACTGCATCTTTGCAATATCCCACCCTACTCCCCTGAGGCTGCACGTCCGCGCAGCGTTAGGCCTCGATTTCCTACGGCCACAGCCTCGGAAAAATCTAATTCCCCGCACTCTGGAAACCCCGAACTCGTACGACTCCATTCCTACACCACCAGCAGAGAATGCCACACTCAGTTTCTCCTCCCACGGTCCCCATCATGCTCACCAAATCATCCGCTCCCTCAGGCGTACCTCCAACCCTTGAGGAAGTCTCCTCCTTCCTTGACACAATCTTCAAATCCAAGACCTCGCAAGAGTCAGTTGACGCCTCTTACGCTCTCACAAACCTCCTAATCACTTCGGTCGGCTTCCGCGGCTTTCGCGCATATGGCGTACTGGACGAGATCAGGAAGGCTGCTGCAGACAAGAAAGATGGCTCGAAGAGGGAGAGCGCGATGAATCTTCTGGGTGCGCTGTTCGAGAAGTTTCCACCTGCGCAAGCGATCAGCGAGGTCGTGTTTTTGTTACAAGATGGGGGCGTCGTCTCGCCTGCGCTGGATGCACTGGCGGACAAGGGCGCCGTGGTGAAGGAATCTGCGCAGTATGCCCTGGATGCGCTTTTCAAGAATCTATCCCCCGAGAGCTTGGTCGTTGGTCTCATTCCCGTACTGTCACAATACTTGGGTAAGAGGTCTGGGAAATGGCAGGGAGCCGTGGGCGCGTATGAGATGTTGGGGAGAATGGCGGTCAAGGCGAAGATGGGTCAAGGTAGTAAGGAGGAAGAAAGGACCAAGGACTTGCTGAGGGAGAGTATGGGAAAGAAGTTGGCGGGGCTGATACCGATAGTTGAGACAGGGATGCACGATTTGAAAGCTGAGGTATGTGATGTTAGGAGACCAAGCGCAATGCCTATCCTAACCAATTTTTGCAGGTTGGCAAGCAAGCTTTGAAGACGATGACATCCCTTACAACCCTACTGTCTAATGACGATGTAGCACCTCGGATACCGCTCCTCATCAAGACTATGCAAAACCCCTCCACTGAAACCCTACAAAAGGCCATACACGCCTTGTCCCAGACTACCTTTGTCGCCATTGTCACATCTCCTGTCCTCGCCCTCCTCACGCCGCTCCTTGAGCGATCTCTGAATACCCCTACAACATCTCAGGAAGTTCTACGGCAGACAGTGGTTGTAGTGGAGAATCTGACAAAACTGGTGCACGATCCGATTGAGGCGAGAACCTTCCTGCCAAAATTGAAGCCTGGTGTCCAGGGAGTCAAAGACCGAGCATCTCTACCCGAAGTCAGAGAAATGGCTACGAGGGCATTGCAGGTCATAAGGACTGCCATGAAAGATGACGACGGCAACTTGTTGAGTGGCCAAATCGCGCCTACTTCTGCCGAAGACGTGCTGAGAGTCTTGGAAAAAGACGTCAAAATGCGTGGTGGTGTTACCGGAGAGCCAGGCGATGTCGAGCTATGGACAGTCACAAAAGGTTATATCTCGGAAATGGTCAAGGAGGATGTAAACCTTCGCCAGGTTTCTCGCATCGGCTCCTGCACCGGTCGCTACCTACAGCAGCTGTTGAAGACGGGAGAAGCCGACTTGGTCTCGCAGGCATTGGAGAAGTATTTTGTCGACGAAGACCATCGCAAGTTTGGACAGCCCATCAAGGAAGACACAGGCGAGATCGAGATCGTGAACACCGATTTTTCTTTGGCATACGGTGGTATGCTGCTCTTGTCACACACCAACATCACCCTGCATAAAGGTCACAGATATGGTCTTTGCGGAAGAAATGGGGCTGGCAAATCCACCCTTATGCGAAGTATCGCAGAGGGCAAGCTGGAAGGCTTTCCGAGCAAGGATCAGCTCAAGACTTGCTTCGTGGAGCACAACCAAGGCGAAGACGCGGACTTGAGCATCCTTGAATTTGTTGCCAAGGATCCTGAGCTGGCAGCTTCTGGAAAAGAGCGTATCTCAGAGGTTCTGAGCGAAGTTGGATTCACTGCTGGTCCCAATGGACGGCAACAAGAGAAAGTCGGATCGCTGTCTGGTGGATGGAAGATGAAGTTGGCTCTGGCTAGAGCTATGCTCATGGGTGCGGATGTGCTGCTCTTGGACGAACCTACCAATCATCTGGACGTTGGGAACGTCAAGTGGCTAGAGGAGTACCTCAGGAGCCATACCGAAATCACCAGTCTGATAGTCAGTCACGACTCTGGCTTCCTCGACAATGTGTGTACGGACATCTACCATTATGAGCAGAAAAAACTGGTCTGCTACCCTGGAAACCTTGCGGCCTTTGTCCGAGTCAAGCCTGAAGCGAAGAGTTATTATACGCTGTCGGCGTCTCAGGTCCAATTCAAGTTCCCGAACCCGGGTATCCTGACTGGTGTTAAATCATCCACGAGGGCCATTATCCGCATGCAGAATTGTACATATTCCTACCCTGGATCCACGAAACCATCCCTTCAAGACGTCACATGCGCCCTCACACTCTCTTCCCGAACAGCAATCATCGGAGCTAACGGTGCGGGCAAGTCTACTCTGATCAAATTGTTGACTGGCGAGACAATCCCTCAGACCGGCAGAGTCGAGAAGCATCCCAATCTGCGTATTGGCTACATCAAGCAGCATGCCCTTGAGCATGTGGAAATGCATATGGAGAAGACCCCAAATCAGTATCTCCAATGGCGGTATGCGAATGGTGATGATCGAGAAGTGCTGATGAAGCAGACCAGAGTGCTCACTCCAGAGGACAAGGCTCAGATGGAGAAAATTGTCGCCCTGCCAGGACTTGGCGAGCGGAAGGTCGAAAACCTGATGGGAAGACAGAAATACAAGAAGACGTTCCAGTACGAAGTCAAGTGGGCAGGCATGCTGCCCAAACACAACACCCAAGTCTCCCGCGAAACGCTTGTAGAACTCGGTTTTGGTAAGCTGATCCAGGAATTCGACGACCACGAAGCTTCGCGTGAAGGTCTCGGCTTCCGCCTCCTCGAGCCCAAAGTGATCTCCAAGCATTTTGAAGACATCGGCCTGGACCCTGAGATCGCAAATCACAACGAGATCTCCGGTCTTTCAGGCGGACAGAAAGTGAAGGTCGTCCTTGCAGGCGCCATGTGGAACAACCCCCATCTTCTTGTCCTCGATGAACCTACCAATTACCTCGACCGCGACTCACTAGGCGGTCTCGCCGTAGCTATCCGCGAGTACAAAGGCGGCGTCGTCATGATTTCCCACAACGAAGAATTCGTGGGCGCTTTATGCCCCGAGCAGTGGCACGTCGCTGACGGGCGAGTGACGCACAAAGGGCATTTGGCTGTCTCAATGGATCGATTTGAAGATAGCAGGCCGGGTAGCAGTGCGGCGAGCAGTAATGTTTCTAGCGCGACGGCGAGCGCGGTCAACACGGATGCGGAAGGTGATGGGGGTATGAATTTCAAGGTCAAGAAGAAGACGAAGAAGTTGACGAGGGCGCAAATGAAGGAGAGGGAGACGAGGAGGAGGTTGAGGCATATTGAGTGGTTGAACTCGCCCAAGGTATGTTTCCCTGCTCGGATCATCGAATGTCGGGTCGTAGGCTAACACAGAGATAGGGCACGCCTCATCCACCAGACACGGATGATGATGCATAGGCATATGAGACATCTAGATGGTGGGAAGAGTCTTGCGTAATGACTATAGACGGCGTTCTTTCGGGCTACGTGATAGAAGATACCTCCTTTAGATTACCGGGGGCAGAAAATGAGAAAAGGGGCCATAGAGGCGTTTTGGAAGTCTCCCACTTAAGCTGGGGAAGACTTATCTAGGTATCAATCAGGATACTGCAGACGTTTATCACTTATCCGTCATTCCATCGTCGAAGCCTTCATCCATCTGTATTCTCCCTCCGTGGATTCCCATCCTCACTGATTACAGGTTCCCAAATTCTTCACAACGTAAACAGGGTCAGTACCTCGCGAGCACGAGCTGTCTATACCCAGTCCATATCGCAGCGCACATCGCCTCCATTCAGCAGTGTATTATTTGCCCATGAGCCCGAGTGATACACCTGATGACCGACGTGATAGATGATGGGAAAGGGGCGCTTGATGGATGCCGAGACGGTGGGAAGCGATGGGCGAGACATTTTGGTGCACTAGTCGGGGAGAGGGCAAGTACGTAGAGGTTTGGTTACGGATTTGCTGCTGTCGTGATATTAACACTGTGAATCGATCGTGTGAGTTGCATTCCCTGCACCCTCAGGCGTACTTTACTCTATCACCGCTCTATGAAATCGACCTCAGTCCAGCCCCTGCGCGTGCTTTCGCTTTGCGGCCCTTCGGCTTCTGATGCAGTGTCAGCTTTCACGGCGGAAGTCTGGGATCCTGGACCCGGCTCACGTACCCTTTTCGGTCCTATAGGTCTCGAACGACTCGCTCGCCTCCGCGGATCCATACACCGTTCCCCTAACCCCGTAAGGATTGTCCCCGTGCTCGGCGCACCCGTGCCGAAGGGAGACCCCTGTCGACAAAGTTATCTTTTGCGATTCCGTACACCTGGCGAATGACGGACACGGCTTCCCGCTGCGTGGTCGGGCCGCCGCTGCTGACCTGGGAGCTGAAGGGGGGGAATTTGCCGCCGTCGTAGGGGTGGAGGGGGTGGTGCTCGCCGAGGTTGAATTCGATGAAGCCGATGGGGAAGAGGGGTGGTTCGGTGTTGGCGGGGTGTGGGTCGTCTCCGTGGTGGCCGAGGACGGTGGAGATGAAGTGGGATCATTGGTTGGTGTGGTCGGCGTTGTTGGGTTCGAGGGGAGGGGATTTGTCGAAGCCGCTGGCGGAGGACGTGGTGACCTTGAAGCGGATGTCGTCTGGTGATTGAGGAGTTGTGCAGTGCTTCTTGGGATGCAGTGTTTCTTGGGATGTGCAGAGGGTTTGAAGGGGTTTAAGTGGATTTGAAGGGTCGAAGGTTGAATGTATGCTAGAATCAAACAAAGAGACGGCGGTCACTGTTTCAAATGACGGCAGGAAACACGTCAGCTGCTGCAAGTGCGTGAGACCTAGCCACTGGCTGCGTTGAGATCATAGTTGCCACGGTTTGTTGGCGCACTTCCTGGGCACTTGCTCGAAAGAGAAGCACGGGCTCCGAAGCGGGGTTTGGCTGTCAGTACGACAAGCACTGAGAAATGAAATTTCAGTGTAGAGCATGAGTTGAGCAAGGCATAACCGTTCCTCCAGGAGTGCCTGCTGGAGTGCCGCTGTAAATGCTCCCAGCGCTGATAAAGGCGTCAAGGAATTGGTAACGCAGTCAGTCCAGGTGGAAGGTTTCCGGATTGGTTCTACATCAGACAGAAGTTGCGAACGATCTTTAACGTAGATTAAATCAAAATATTGAATGACTGAAGCTTCAAATCTAATCTAACCTGGCTTAAGATCAGTGGCTGTATTGAGCGCGTACCACTTCGTTGGTGTTTTGAGATGAATGCGATCGGCGCAAGCTGCCTCTTCCATGTCTCATGACCACGGTAGAAGCTCTCGAACAGAAGACTCTCGAAGACTGGAGTGAGGGTGCTGCCGGCGGAAGACATTCTTATCTCCCCCATTACTGAGCTAACACTGTCATTGATGACATTCTATACGGTGAAGGGCAACAATTGCAACGACGTATCGCGATCTGGGGTGTAGTTATTGCTGTTTCCATGATGTGGAAGAACGACAAGCATTTCGAGTACCTCAAAGTAGCGCCTGAGTAGAACAAGGTCTCGTTTGGCTTTGATGTGTTCAACGTTGGTGCTGTTGACAAGCCCGTTGACATTTAGGGGACGGTCCTTTCATGAAACACTCAACATGGACAAGATATCGATCGCTTATTGGCACCACGACAATTCAGATGGTCAATAACACTGCCAGAATAGGATACATGGCGCAGTCTTGACTCAACATTCACATCACCCCGAAAGGTGGCGACGAGGGCATCCTCAACTACTGCGACGTCTTCTTACTAATCACGTCTACTCTCTGGGAGCTCGCTGGATCTTCCAAGAAGATTCGCCCGGATCCAGTTGTTGATGTTCTCCGGGGTTCCCCGGGGTTCCAACGCAGGAACGTCCATCAGTAGTCTCTTTCGTACTAGCCAGCCCTATCTCGATACATAGTGGATCATTGTCAACTTGTCTCGGGTCCCTGCTTATATGCTAAGCGCTAGCCTTTGAGGTCAGTCGTCATTACCTTGCGGGTCGATGAGCGGTTGATTGGAGGGGGAGGCTCCATCGAGATACCATCACCTTTAGGCCGCGGATAGCGAAGTTCTTGCAGCGATGCTGAGTCTATAGAGAACACGGAAGTCCCAAGTGTCAGATCATCTTGATGCGTTGTCTCACTATAACGAGAAGGAGAACAAGGTTGAGTTGTCTCAGCCTAACGATTTCTGAGACATAGAACATTGGAGGCGATGGTGGGATCGAAGGCGGCGCAGTCACATTTTGGGGAGAAGAGGAGCTGCAGGACGAGCAAAGCGACTGAACACATCGAACAATGGTACTATCATCCCGAGATGACCGACTTGTGAGGGTGGGAAGCAGCACTGCAGGAAGCGACAGCGAAGGTTCTTCGGCATGGATCTTCCGGAATGAGACGACGACTTGACGTGATACTGACAGCTGGCAACGAGTACACGGATGGACCTCTGGATGCTCTGAATATATCAAGTAGACATGGCGCTACCTGCATGTTGTCGAATGTTGGAGTGGAAGGCTGAACGAGGAGATACGATTCTCTAGCGTGCTGCAAACTGCCGCTTTCCTCTATCGGGAAAAGCAGTCCCGAGACACTAGGCTGCAACGGTATTGGCGGGCTTGCCTCGTACGGTATCATTTTCCATGCCCGCAGATTCTAAGATATATTTTGTCTGCCTCTTTACCTGCATTCGTTCTCTGTGATCCTTGCGGCCCTATGATATATCGCCAACGTTCTAGATACAAGCAGTTGTGCTGGTGTTGCAGTCTCCCACTGCTTCTCTGGAATACCTACCTTACCTACCTCTTCGCGGGTGCTTGCAGTAGCTGCGTGCTAAATGACGCCTGAGCCCACTAGCTAGCTGCCTAAGGTAGTCGAAGGATCCCTAGGCTGCGCTATCGCGGTCCCTATATTCCTAGATGCAAGTCAGCGTCCTTTGGGGGCCAATCGTGTGCCGCTTCCCCCGCCTGTGGCTCAGGATTTTGAGTGATCTTTTCTTTTGGTAATGATAAATGTACTCGAGCATACGAGTATCGACTTACAGATAAGGAGAGTGACTTCAGGAATTAAGGAGAGAGGGGAGTTGTGCGCAACTCTGAAAGGTCAGTCTAACCAGCGCGCGCAGCCTGCGAATGATCGCTAATATGATTTTATTGGTGTACCTTAGGGACGGAACCCAATCTCAATGATCACGCGTCGGTTAAGGGATGCACGCGGAGATCGAATTCAGAAGATCAGCATAGAAGCAGAATTCCAGGCTTGCTCGGGTGCATGTGAAAAAAAAGGCTATCAGCCCTAGCGACCCCGACCTAGATCTATGCCGCATACTTCCATTGAGCTGATCGCATTCTCTCCCTTGCTCATTCAGCGTCGAAGCTGAATCGATCCCAGCGAGATAATAGGCATCGAAAGCTACGTTGACACAGCAACAGAAGGATACTCAAGACGCAAGAGCGGACCTTCTACGTGAGCAAGGAACTCTAACCGGGTTTTGTAGACCACGCCTCGGTCTTATAGTCGGGATTTTCCCTCTTCTTGTACACCTACTTGGTCTTCTACTTCCATTGCTAGACGCGACGCTTGTACCCATCCTATACGCTACACCAAGGAATTTGATTTTGAGGGCGGTTTACCGTTGTTGCCAAACAACTTCCACCATTCAGGACAAGCATTCGCGACCATGGCGAACGAAAAGTCCACCCTCGACGACATCGCCCGCAATACGTCTGATGACAATGTCGACCTCAAATCTCTAGACTCTGACGCTCTCGCCTTGGCGCAGATGGGTTACACCCAAGAGATGAAGCGCAATTACACTTGGTTCTCCCTCCTCGGCGTTGGCTTCTCCCTCACCAACTCTTGGTGGGGCATCTCTGCCGCCCTCATCACCGGCATCAACTCTGGGGGCCCTGTGCAAATCGTCTACGGTTTGCTCTTCTTCGCACTCATCTCAACATGCGTGGGAATAAGTCTATCAGAGTTGGCATCAGCACTGCCGAATGCGGGAGGGCAGTATTTCTGGGCGAATGAGCTGGCGCCAAAAAGATACGCGAACTTCGCCAGCTACTTGACAGGGTGGTTTGCCTGGGCGGGAAGTATCTTCACCAGTGCTAGTGTCGCATTGGCAACGGCAAGTGCCGCGGTGGGCTGCTGGCAGCTGTCGCATCCAGACTTGTATGTATCTCGCCCATACTGCCTTTTTGAGCGAGGTCGCTGACGGAAGCAGCGTGATATTGCCATGGCATGTTTGGGTTGGATACCTCGTCATCAATGTCTTCGCTTTCATGTGGAACTGCTATGCAAAATGGCTACCCGTCATAGCTCAGATTTCAATATTCACTTCATTGATATCCTTCTTCGTTATTCTGGTCACGGTCCCTGCAAAGGCGCCAACGCACCAGGATGCAAAGTTCGTCTTTGCCAACTTCGTAAACAACACTGGGTGGTCGGCAAACGGGATCGCTTTCATCGTCGGCCTAATCAACACCAACTACGCCTTCGCCTGCCTCGATTGTGCCACTCACCTTGCCGAGGAAGTCAACCGCCCTGAAAAGATGGTCCCTATCGCCATCATGGGTACCGTCGCCATTGGATTCGTCACCTCATGGTTCTACTCCATCGCCCTGTTTTTCAGCATGAACAACCTTAGCGATCTCCAGACCACTTCTACTCTCGTACCGATCTTGGCGTTGTTTTACCAAGCCCTTGGAAGTAAGGCAGGAGCCATCATGCTGGAGAGTCTGTTCATAGCGACGGGCATTTGGTGTCTAGTCGCAAGTCATACGTGGCAGAGTCGCTTATGCTGGTCCTTTGCTCGCGATGGCGGCCTACCCTTTAGCAAATTCCTCAGCCATGTTGATCCTCGAGTGGATGTCCCTCTCCGTGCGCACTTCGTCAGTTGCGTTATCGTGACCATTCTGGGACTACTCTATTTGGGAAGTTATACAGCATTCAACAGCATGGTCACGGCCTGCATCGTTCTGCTTTATGTCTCGTACTCGATTCCGGTCATCTGTCTCCTGATCAAAGGTCGCAACAATATTCATCATGGTCCCTTCTGGTTGGGTTCTTTTGGACTATTCGCCAACATCGTGTTGCTGTTGTGGACCTGCTTTACGATTATTATGTACTCATTCCCGCCGGCAAAACCCGTTTCCGGAGGAAGTAAGTCGTCCAATCCCTGTCTAAGGAAGTTTTGCTTCGGAAAGTGCGAGGGCTGACAATCACTGCAGATATGAATTACGTCTCTGCTGTATATGGAGTCGTTGTGTTCATTATCGTCGTGGACTGGTTTGCGCGGGGAAAGAGGGGGTATAGAGGACAAACTTTGAGGCGCGAAGAAGCAGAGGCAAATTTGACTGGCAATGAGACCGTTAGGTAGATCAAGCAAGTTGATGTTGTGGTCATCGCTATCCAGCATACGGAATATTGATGCACAGCCTAACACAATCCTCGACTCTGGATTGCACTAGAATCTCCTTACCTCCAAATCCTATTGACTATAATCTAAATATCTTTGACCCATGAGAGGTATTACACAGGTGATTTGGGTGCTGCCGATCTTCTCAAAGCGTCCGGAACGAGTCCGGTTCCTTCATCTGATACTTATACCGACGACAAGCAGAAAGCGGTGTTTAGCGGAAAGCGTTGTTTGCAAGCAAACGGCTCAAGGAGAGTTCGTTCCCAAAGATTCCATGGCAAGATTCGTCCAGGGTGATACTATCAAAAAAATGTTGATCCGCCCAGTCCATCTTGTGGGGGTTGGGACGACCATCAATGATGTTCATCTTCCACGATTATGTGTGAACCTTAAGCTTGGGATCGTAGAGCTCGATTGGAAGGATTTCGTGTCGACCTTCCTTACAGAGAAGCACTTGTTTCGTCCCATTCTGGCCCATCTGGTAGGCTTTCTGCTAGGTTCTGTCAGTCAACTTTGTTGCCATCATGATACAGTAATCCGATCCCACTACGATTTTTAAGCTCAATTTCACACCATCAACTCCCCTCACCAGACCGCAAGATATGCGGCGATGTCTAATACGCTGCCTAATGAAGCATCATCGAAGCGTCGATAGTCTTCTCCACAAACCCTCGCTCGCCTCCGATTCGTTAAAGTCGCTGCACGCCAAACTCGCCTTGCTCATTTCTATCCTGCTATCGTTGGACGCCCTCTGTCCGTGGGTGACAGATTCCTGGCGGAAGTGCACTGGTCGCTAATGAAGATCGGTTCTTGCGAGATTTGCAAGAACAGAGGCAGCGAAGATTGAAAGGAGAAGCAAGACCGAGGCAGCCTAGGTAGGGGCGTCGCAGTGGGAATGGTTCGGTCCATCGAAGATGCTCAAGGGCCTCGGTA